TGTTGTGCACCCTTTGTATGTACATTTGTTATGTATTTCGGGTGGTATATGTGTGAAACGTTCATATGTGTTCTCAATAGTTGTTTGGGGCGGTGGGGTAGCCTAGTGGTTAAAGCGTTGGCTCGTCACGCCGAAGACCCGGATTCGATTCCCCACATGGGCACAATGTGTTAAGCCCATTTCTGGTGTCCCCCGCCGTGATATTGCTGGAATATTGCTAAAAGCGGCGTAAAACTAAACTCAGTCAGTCAGTCAGTCTCAATAGTTGTACAAAGGTAGTAATGAAGGGGTTATTTGATTAACAGATTCCTGACTATAAAGGTGTCATAATATATTCATCCATTGATGATATATCACCGTGCTTGTTGTCCACTGTTGCAGTGTTCATATTAACAAGGTCCGTGTAAACAAACACGGTAATCATCGCTGTGATCACCGGACACAAATTAACAGTGTACAATTTAACAAGAACGTATTGTGATAACGATTGGAGGACAAACACCCTGTGGACAAAAGCCCCCTAGGACCAAAACCCATAAGGACAAAAACACAAACAAATGAGGACCTTTGAACAAAACCCCCAAATATGTTTTAACTACTGAGTGATTGACTTAAGTGACATGTTTTGATTGAATCAGTAATAGAGATTATCAGGGATAGGGATTAACAGGCTTCATTAATATTAGGGGCGGTGGGGTAGCCTAATGGTTAAAGCGTTGGCTCGTCACGCCGAAGACCCGGTTCGAATCCCCACATGGGCACAATACGTGAAGCCCATTTCTGGTGTCCTCCGCCTTGATGTTGCTGGAATATTGCTAAAAGCGGCTTAAAACCAAACTCAGTCAGTCAGTCAGTCATTAATATTAACTTAGTATTTCGTTTGTAGACATCATTAAGGGTGAAGCTTCATTATTGATGAGGATTAACTGACTTCAAGAGTATTAAAAGTTTAATTAATCAACTTAGTATTTAGATATGTACACATTATTGAGCATTTCAACTCACTGTCATATTACAACTGATATAAATATATGCTCCATAAACTAAGCAGGCAGTAGCATTCCAGCATGAAGATATTGAAGAATAATATGGGTGGTGTCAAGTTTAGCTTCGACGGTTATATGTATACCACGAAGAGCACTGGAAAGTCATACATTCGCTGGGTATGTAGCCGTCGTACAGTCGTAATCTAAACTGTATGTGATGTCGACTAAAAAAAATATTTGAATAATAAACAATCTTCATTATTCATTTGGAGCTTTTGGGGATTTTGTCCTACATGGTGTTTTTTTTGTCCTAAGGGGGTTTTTGTCCTAGAGGGCTTTTGTCCGTGATAACACAGTCACCCTTAATAAACTAACGGTTCATAAGGGTGCGCTTCTTTCAATAACGTAATGTATGCAATTAAATGTAAACGAGTCAACGAAAATACATGTAGAACGTTTCCTTGCATGCCTATCTCACTAAATATAGCTTTTATGATGTTACGATAATCTATTTATTACTCTAGTGTTTTTGCAGCTGCAATAAAATATGTCGTGAATGCCAATACAAAACGACAAATCACACGAATAATGCATTTCATATCAGTTTGGCGTCCTGCGATAAGACATCACAGGCACATGTGAGACCACCTGTGTAATAATAAAAACTTTATGTAAAACGTCGTAATAATTATCTCCGACCTGTTATTCCAGATATGGGAGATCTGACGAGATGAACACGTCCAGGTGCAGACGCCGAGGGGGAAACAGGCTTGTGTCACCCACTCCTAACTACACGACCAGCCTTTGAAGCCGGCCAGCGGAAAATACCACGTGTGTGTATGGGGTGGGTGGCAGGGAATAGTGACAGTTGGAGGCGGAAAGGGATGGGTGTGAAATTTACCTTGATAAATAATTGCACACTTTTTTGTGTTATTATAGTGAGTGAGTGAGTTTAGTTTTACGCCGCACTCAGCAATATTCAAGCTATATGGCGGCGGTCTGTAAATAATCGAGTCTTGACCAGACAATCCAGTGATCAACTGCATGAGCATCGATCTGCGCAATTGTCAACCAAGTCAGCGAGCCTGACCACCCGATCCCGTTAGTCGCCTCTTACGACAAGCATTGGTTACTGAAGATCAATATTCTAACCCGGATCGTCACTGGTTTATTATATCATGATACGTTACGTTACGTTACGTTACGTTACGTTACGTTACGTTACGTTACGTTACGTTACGTTACATTACATTACATTACATTACATTACATTACATTACTATATTATATTATATTATATTATATTATATTATATTATATTATATTATATTATATTATATTATATTATATTATATTATATTATATTATATTATATTATATTAGACACTCAATCGCGTGTCTGTATATCAAATTAGACAGGCTATAAATGTTTAAAGCTCTAGGACTCTAGGACTATGTAACTTAACATGTTAAGAATGCAAGTGTGAAACTGTATTTATTAGCCAAAATCATTCTTCCATTTTCTAAGTAGTTATGGTTATAGCGTCTGCTCGTCACGCTGAAGACCCAGGTTCGATTCCCCACATAGGTACAATGTGTGAAGCCTATTTCTGGTGTCCCCAGCCGTGATATTGCTGGAAAGCGGTGTAAAACCATACACACACACTCTTGATTAAACAGATTTGATCATGCCGTCACAGTAAAAGTACTTCTCCAGGCAAATCGAGATTTATTTGTGACGTCCTGGTAATCGATGATCTCACACTGTTCTGCGCGAAGCCGATCTCCCAGTACATCTCACCTGAGCAGAACTTCCGGTGTCAAGGTGATATAATGTGTTTAAGTGCAATTTAGGGTCTCTGCGAGGAAGATGATGTAAGGGAGCTAACTCTCTATGCGCTTCATTCTCTATTCTCATCTGACTTAAAGTGCACTCGTGACGTTGTGGGGATCAATTCCCTCTCTGGGTTATGGAGAAACAGATCACTTGAATTAGTTATTACAGATGGGCTTCGACAGGTTATAATAATTACATATGTCAGTCCATAAGATAATGCTCGGGCATGAGACCGTTGATAATTGATCTTCCTGGACCTGTATTTGCTGCAAGAGGCGCCTAACCGGTGTGGGTGGTCAAGCTCGCAGCATTTTTGATGCATGACAATTGCATAAGTCGATGCTCATGATGTCGGCCACTTGACTGTCTAGTCCAGGGTCCATTGATGCTCATGATGTCGGCCTCTTGATTGTCTAGTCCAGGGTCCATTGGTGCTCGGGATGTCGGTCACTTGACTGTCTAGTCCAGGGTCCATTGATGCTCATGATGTCGGTCACTTGACTGTCTAGTCCAGGGTCCATTGATGCTCATGATGTCGGTCACTTGACTGTCTAGTCCAGGGTCCATTGATGCTCATGATGTCGGTCACTTGACTGTCTAGTCCAGGGTCCATTGATGCTCATGATGTCGGCCACTTGACTGTCTAGTCCAGGGTCCATTAATGCTCATGATGTCGGTCACTTGACTGTCTAGTCCAGGGTCCATTGATGCCGGTCACTTGACTGTCTAGTCCAGGGTCCATTGATGCTCATGATGTCGGCCACTTGACTGTCTAGTCCAGGTTCCATTGATGCTCGTGATGTCGGTCACTTGACTGTCTAGTCCAGGGTCCATCGATGCTCGGGATGTCGGTCACTTGACTGTCTAGTCCAGGGTCCATTGATGCTCGTGATGTCGGTCACTTGACTGTCTAGTCCAGGGTCCATTGATTCTCATGATGTCGGTCCCTTGACTGTCTAGTCCAGGGTCCATTGATGCTCATGATGTCGGTCACTTGACTGTCTAGTCCAGGGTCCATTGATGCTCATGATGTCGGTCACTTGACTGTCTAGTCCAGGGTCCATTGGTGCTCGTGATGTCGGTCACTTGACTGTCTAGTCCAGGGTCCATTGATGCTCATGATGTCGGTCACTTGACTGTCTAGTCCAGGGTCCATTGATGCTCATGATGTCGGTCACTTGACTGTCTAGTCCAGGGTCCATTGATTCTCATGATGTCGGTCACTTGACTGTCTAGTCCAGGGTCCATTGATGCTCATGATGTCGGTCACTTGACTGTCTAGTCCAGGGTCCATTGATGCTCATGATGTCGGTCACTTGACTGTCTAGTCCAGGGTCCATTGATGCTCGTGATGACGGTCACTTGACTGTCTAGTCCAGGGTCCATCGATGCTCGGGATGTCGGCCACTTGACTGTCTAGTCCAGGGTCCATCGATGCTCGGGATGTCGGCCACTTGACTGTCTAGTCCAGGGTCCATTGATGCTCATGATGCCGGTCACTTGACTGTCTAGTCCAGGGTCCATTGATGCTCGTGGTGTCGGCCTCTTGATTGTCTAGTCCAGGGTCCATTGGTGCTCGGGATGTCGGTCACTTGACTGTCTAGTCCAGGGTCCATTGATGCTCGGGATGTCGGTCACTTGACTGTCTAGTCCAGGGTCCATTGATGCTCGTGATGTCGGTCACTTGACTGTCTAGTCCAGGTTCCATTGATGCTCGTGATGTCGGTCACTTGACTGTCTAGTCCAGGGTCCATTCTATAACTGGAATAATGTTAGGTGGAGCACTAAACAATCATGACTACGCGACCTCGTTATACTGGAACTCCGAATATACCGTCATGTGGCCAGCCTTTATCACGATCTGACAGCTAGTAGTAGGTCCTTTACCTTATACTTTACCTATACTATCAATCGCAATCAAAGAGGGAACACGTCTTGACATCATTGTATTGTCGACGAGAGTCTCTCTCCGTGTTAAAGTCTGTGTGGTGACGGAGGTTGTTCAAATAAATATACACGTGTAATACAATTATTAAATTTCAACTTTTGTCTTTCTGCAATTTTAAGACTGAACCTCATGTACAGGTCAACCTAACAGTTTGTACGTACATATATAACAACAGCACTGTACTTTTATCATGTTCATTATCAAGGTCACTGTCACCATTCCTGGATATATGTTCTGATATAAACAGATAAGACGACTCGACTTGGCCTCAGTCTTGCATCTCCGTCCAATATGGCGACGTACCTACTCCTTGTGACGGCCTTTGTGCCACTTGTCCAAGCAGCGCAGAAACTGGGTAACTCTTGTCATATCATACATCTGATGAATATCAAATACAATTTAACTTTCAGGACATAAACATAGTGAATATGGGATATACACTAACTCCGTGTCCAAGCACAAAGACAGGTGAAATGTATGTCAGATAAATGGCTCAGAGATAGATCAAACTCTGTCTTGACCTTCCGTTATTAGTTTGACATGTTTTAAAATCTACAAAACCGTACCAGCGAATTGGAATTAACAAACCTTTTACCAGGCAGATCCTTAAACTGACAGGAGTGACGGGTCACTTTGACCTGCGTTCTCAGTAATATATATGTATTCACTGAAGACATTCAGACGTCATGACGCCAATCAGTAATTGACCTGTCAATGAATTAAATAATATAGAAACAAACAGCCGACACAATGGGTCAAATACGTAGCAGCAGAAATAAAGAGAAGGCCAAAGAAATTAATGTAAGTGTATTCACGAATGTATGTCGCGAAACAGGACAGCCTCCGATCTTGAATCGAGAAGTGTGGTCAACGTTGGCAGGTATTCAAATGGTGTCTAATTCGTGCTTGGTAGGAAGACATGGCGTAAGTCAGGTCAAAAAAGGCATGGAAATGTCCTCTTATCTCTAATATACAGGTACAACCACACTTTTAGAAACTTTGATAATTGTCATAGTCATGTCTTCATATATGTGGCCATGATTGCACGCGACATTTTACAAACGCTTCCCTAATTTGCTGCCACTGATAATGACAAGAACTCGGAGAAGACTCCTCTATTTGTAGATCAATGAATGTGCTCACAGAGGACTCCAAGACCTGCCATGACTACACAATGGAAGAGTCACTATGTGGCTGAAATATCAATTTTAACCCATTCACAATGGAAGATCTACACAACATGTTCTATATTCAAGAGATTTCACAATGGAAGATCTACACAAACATGTTCTATATTCAAGAGATTTCACAATGGAAGATCTACACAAACATGTTCTATATTCCAGAGATTTTCACAATGGAAGATCTACACAAACATGTTCTATATTCCAGAGATTTCACAATGGAAGATCTACACAAACATGTTCTATATTCCAGAGATTTTCACAATGGAAGATCCACACAAAGTGACAAACATGTTCTATATTCCAGAGATTTCACAATGGAAGATCTACACAAACATTTTCTATATTCCAGAGATTTTCACAATGGAAGATCCACACAAACATGTTCTATATTCAAGAGATTTTCACAATGGAAGATCTACACAAGCATGTTCTATATTCCAGAGATTTCACAATGGAAGATCTACACAAACATGTTCTATATTCCAGAGATTTTCACAATGGAAGATCTACACAAACATGTTCTATATTCCAGAGATTTCACAATGGTAGATCTACACAAACATGTTCTATATTCCAGAGATTTTCACAATGGAAGATCTACACAAACATGTTCTATATTCAAGAGATTTTCACAATGGAAGATCCACACAAAGTGACAAACATGTTCTATATTCCAGAGATTTCACAATGGTAGATCTACACAAGCATGTTCTATATTCCAGAGATTTTCACGGTCGACAAGGCGGAGGTCTCTGTGTCGGGCATCTCAGCTGGAGGAGCAATGGCGGTACAGTTCCACACCGCCTTCTCGGCTTCAGTCAGGGGAGTCGGCTCCATTGCTGGAAGTAGGTTCAGACATTTGCCTTTTTTTACCAACTGATTACAATCCACAGTTTCGACGTAATTCAGGTCGAGAAAGAGTCTGGTCACCCAACTCTACTGAACACACTCATAACCTCACGCAAATAGCTCCAAAGTCGGCGATCCGACGTTCTATAATCACTCGTACGTCTTTACTGTATGTAGATCTTTTCACAGATGATGAAGTGTTATCGTTTCAGAATTCAGGATTCTACAATATTTGTGGAATACATCTGACCATTATGATTAAATACGGGAATTGTGACATTCTTGTTGAAAATAACGAAAATCAGAAAGAGATGTATGTGAAGAAAACGTTATTTACTAGGTCTGTTGAGGTAAGAGTTAGTTGTTTTGACACGTGGACCGATTGTGCACGGTTTTAATATTGATAAGACCTGCAGAGCACCGAGTTTACAATGGGAGGTACGTGTGTTAACTGTTGATGTGTAGCTAATAGAAGCGTACGTAAAATACTTAACGGCAACACGCATAACGGGTGTTCAGGTGCCAACGCTCACCGCCACCCGTTCCACACCCATCTCTCAATACACCGCTCTTGGGGAGCTTAGAGGGCGGTAAGAGTATGAGAGCATTGTGCTGGTATATTTTGAGGTGAGGTGAGGTGAAATTGGGTTTAACGTCGTGCTTGAGAATATTTCGCTCATATGACGACGTGCATGCGTGTGTATGTGTATGTGCGGCTGCTTGTACTAGCCCAGACTTAAGCTGGTTTTATAGTGCTAGCCCACTGAGATACCATGCCGCAGTAAAGCATGAATACCCCACTAAGACACATTATACTGACTCCGCGCCGACCAGTCCTTGTTGTACCCATTAATGCCGAGCGCCAGGCAGGGACCAACAAGTACCATATTTTAACGTCTTTTGGTATGACGCGGTCGGGGATCGAACCCGCGACCTTCCGCTCTCCGGGCGGACGCTCTAACCACTACACCACGGAGGCGGTCGGTATATTTTGAAGAATGTTTATCTTTAAGCAGTACTTACAGACGAGAGGTGATAATACCTTCACTTTACTTGAAGAATGCTGCTCCTGTTACAAAAATTTACATTGCATGTTTGTAGTCCCCTACTCTTGCTCCGGGGGTCAGCTGGGAACGGCCCTGGGGTCGTGCATGAGCTCCCCCTCGGGCATCAACGTGGCATCCCTGGTTAACCACGCCAAGTCACAGGCCGGGGCCGGCAAGATCGACGCCACGGACAACCTCCGCAACACCAGCGTCTACATCTGGGCCGGCACCAGTGACACCGTCGTGAAAACAGGTGCGTATGTCCCTACCGACCTTCCTACACCAACAGATGTGTCATCAATGGGACATTACAAAACCAGTCCTGTATAAACTGAAACCTCTTTAACCCAGACTTGTTATCAAACTCTTACGGTTACATAAACACAAAGTTAAATTACTAAGTACCATGACTCGGTAATCCGGATCAGAATTGTCCGGATATTCGAGGTTTCACTGTCTCCAGTATTTAGCGTTCGGATGAACAGTGACAGTACTTATTAAGACGGAACGTACCGTTAACTTGACACTTCCATGTTTTATTAGTTGATTTAAATTATTACATAGAAACATTTCAATGTGTGAGTGAGTGAGTGAGTGAGTGAGTGTGTGTGTGTTTAAACACAAATAGGCGTCATACTAGTCTCTCGTACAGACCCTGAAGCAAATATATCCAAGAAAGCCCCCACAAGTCTAGAAAATGTGGCAAGTCTAGATTTCCTCAGCTTCTGAAAATGAAGAAAGTCTCAGGGCTCCTTTTCATTATATTTTTTTTTTTTTACTATGAACTTTTTTCAGTAAAATATGTTCATTTCAGAGACTAGTTGTTAGTCTAGCGTCATACCAAAAGGCGTTAAAATATGGTACTTGTTGGTCCATGCCTGGCGCTCGGCATTAATGGGTACAACAAGGACTGGTCGGCTCGGAGTCAGTATAATGTGTCTGAGTGGGGTATCCATGCTTCACTGCGGCATGGTATCTCAGTGGGCTAGCACTATAAAACCAGCTTAAGTCTGGGCTAGTACAAGCAGCCGCACATACACACACACGCGCATGCACGTCGTCATTCTCAAGCACGACGTTAAATCCAATTTCACCTCACCTTTAAACACAAATACAATCTAAACGATATTTTAACGACTTATCGGTTTCCGTTTCCGACGGATTCGTCTCATATTTGCCACAAACCGGTTTGTTTCTAGATGCATCCCGAAAGATAGAGGCCTTCTACAGCGACTTCGTCAGCCCCTCCAACATCAAGGCCGTCTACGCCAGCGGTGCCGAGCACACATTCGTAACTATCACACCATACTAGAACAGTGAAACATTTGTACATCAAAACAATCTCGTTCCAGGGTGGAACATGCCTCCCAAGACATTCTTGTGAAGCGCATGTATATACCATGCAGTATATCAGTGTCATTTTGGATTAACGTTTAGTTGCATTTTCTTCCATCTGCGTAGACAGGATCGTAGCTACCATTATACAAGCCCGTACTTACACATAATTGTTGCTAGAAAGATTGGGCAAGCCCTTAATACTATCTAAATATAAAGCGTTCCAACCTATCGGGCTTACACGAAAACACTGGCTTGCTACGCGGCTGGCGGATATATAGACAGTGAAGTATAGTTTACATAAATATTCTTATATCTGCACTCATATATTGACGTGATATAGCGATGTCATACAGACAAATCATGATCCGTCACAGCCCACAGAGAACTATGGTAACCCGTGCACCTCCCTGGGCAGCCCCTACCTCGGCAGATGCAACTACAACGGCGCCTACGAGCTGCTCAACTTCATCCACGGTAACCTGCAGAGACCATCTGGGGATGTAGCTCTGAAAGGGAAGGTCAGCCTTTAAACCTCTGGTCTATGTCTGATGATGTGTTTGATGAATCTCGTGGGTGATGTGATGATGATCAACTCGTGAATCAGATCATCATACGGTTCAATACCGCAACATAATCCCTGTGTGAGTGAGTGCGTATACGTTTTGTTGTTGTGTGTGAGAGAGTGTAAAATTGATTTTTATGCACTCTTTAGCTAGACAAACTATGATTACCCGACCACCTCTCAATCGTAAGGGTAATGATTAATTGTATGCGTTGTATTTATATACGGTATAGTTTATCGAGTACGACCAGACGGAGTTTCTACCTAGCTCCAGGAAGAAGCGGATCCTGCTGGTGCCAGACAGCCTGCTCTCCCCCCTCAAGGCGTACGAGTCTATGAGCAACATGATGGGGACGATGCTGTCATCGGGGATTGCCGCCGCGACGAGCTACTGGGATTGGTGGAAAAAATTCTGGAATGGTACTGTGCATCTACTCAACAATATTGTGCTTATGAAGCCTGTTCTACTACATGTGTACTCACAATTTGGTGGGGGCAGTAGAGTAGCCTAGTGCTTAAAGAGTTCGCTCGTCACGCTGAAGACCTGGGTTCGATTCCCTACAAGGGTACAATGTGTGAAGCACATTTCTGGTGTCCCCCGCCGTGATATTGCTGGAATGTTGCTAAAAGCGGCGTAAAACCAAATTCACTCACTTACAATTTGGCAAACCTGAACGGGAATGATTGAAACTATGCTGGCGTCGATGTGTGAATATTGACTGCAGGTTGTTTTCTCGTTACCATGGTAATACACCGCTCCAGACAAGCCACCAAATACACACGATATCACATCTAGTAAAATACGTTTGAGTTGCATGTGTACAAATATGCATGAACAAGTTAGAAACAATGCAGGATTTACTTGAGAACTCTAACCTTTGACCCAAGGTATCGGAAGCGGAGGGGTCAGTACACCCGGCCTGGCTGGATCAGGGTCACACAGCATGGACGGCACCGCCTACGCTTACATCCCCTCTGGCTGTTACGACAGCACCGTTGGTAAGGTTTGGCTCACCATCGTGGCTTAGTTGTTATGTTAGTGAGGTTCGAGGATGAAAACATGACAAAATATTTTCCTTAATGAATCCTTTCCTTAATTTTATAAAATCTTTACAATACGTAGGATCATTTGCACGATTCCGCCTTTATCACGTTTTATTTACTTATCAAATAGTTCACTCTGAACCAGTGGACTCTGTTTCAGTCATGTTGTTGGGGGTGGCATGGTTTTGGGGTTCAATAACCTATATGTTTTTGTGGACGGGGCGTTTCATGTACTGTTTATGCTTTCCCGTTTCTTCTGCATTAGGGGCGGTGGGGTAGCCTAGTGGTTAAAGCGTTGGCTCGTCACGCCGAAGACCCGGGTTCGAAACCCCACATGGGTACAATGTGTGCAGCCCATTTCTGGTGTTCCCCCGCCGTGATGTAGCTGGAATATTGCTAAAAGCGGCGTAAAACCAAACTCAGTCAGTCAGTCTTCTGCATTATTCATTTTGAGCAGTGACGTGATACTCAAAATCCTCAATCCTCCTCGAAGGGTAAATAATGGCCGTCCCCTTATTTTACTGTTTTGTTCTATCGACAGTGTGCAAACTTCATGTTGCCTTCCACGGATGTAAAATGCAGAGGTGAGAGCTGTTTGTCTCTGTCAGTTTTGCCGAAGTAGTAGCTTCAGGTTATATAACCATTCGCAGGGGATAATAGATACTGCAGTGTTAATCAACAAACACAGACGCATTGGAATCGGTCAATGTATACACTATTTCCCCAATCTTGAACCTTTATCTGTATTGATCTGGACACCTGTATTGTATTGTGGCACAAGACGTTCATTCCAGCTGTGTTGGCACAGGGAGACTATCGGTGACGTGTTCGCAAGGCATGCTGGGTACAACGAAGTGGCGGAGCTCAACAACATCATCCTCCTGTACCCCCAGATAAAGTCTGACCTCATCTCCAACCCCAACGGCTGCTGGGACTGGTGGGCGTACACTGGAGCAAACTACGGTCAGCTGCGTGTTGTGTTATACCTGTCAATACCCAACACTGTATATCAACGAGTCGGAGTACAATGACACGCAAGCCAAGAGTCTGACAACCGATCCTCATTTTAGTCAGCTGTTCCGACAAAATGTCCTTACGAGCGTGTACATCTACGGGTATTTTAGAAGAATACTTTTTTATTATTTTTACGTCAAAATGAAAATTCAAGGCATGTGGGAGATGGAAGTTTTATGGAAAATACTGAAAATAGGACTGCTGAGATTGGTATTCCTGTACTTCGTTCTGTAAACCTTCTAAGCCAGTCCATGTCGACAATGTGTTCCAATATGTATATTTCAGACACAAAGGGCGGCGTTCAGATGAAGGCTGTGAAGAACATGATTGACAGGGTGACAGGCGACAACCCGTAATGGTGTACATGGCCGACTGAAATAGACCATGGTATTCCTCAAGTACTCATGCTGTATCTTCCTGTAAATAAACAGGTCTCTGTGACTCTTCCAGATGTGAGCTTGTCTAATAATTGTTACCGTCTCTTGTGCCTCGAATTTGAACAACAGTTTACTCATGGGATTTTCGGGAACGAGAGTTGGTCCTAAGTAACATAAGCAGGTCGCAAGAGTACATCAACGGGTTCAGGTGGATTGTTGTGGATAATATCGATCACTGGGTTGTCCGGTCCAGATTGGATTATGTACATGCGGGCGTCTAATGCCTGGCATATTGCTGAATACGGTGTTAAACAAAATACAATCCCTGATTATATATAGCTGTTGATAACAAACTGTCTATATTGTGATTAATGTTGTACGGAATGTTTTATACAAAGCATTCAGAATAGGTTTTCATTTCAGCGCATTTAAAAAAATGTTAAATGACGATAGAAGCTACTCTTTTCAGTCTACACTCTTCAGCTGATACATCAGCCTCCCCTGATGGAAGTGAGTGGGGTGAGCTTTAAGCCGCTGTAAGCAACAAACCGGTGATACACATCCATTGGTGTGACGATCAAATGCGTGTGTCTCTCAGTGTGTCCGTAAATTTACGGAGACTAGCTGAAGGGAACATAAAATGACGCTTGCGCCCTCATGTGCACAAGAACCGGATGTGCCATGAACGTAATTGTATTTTAAGGTCATGTATAATGTCGGTGACATTCGATAAGTGTCAGTAATGCGCCTGTCTGTGATTACCCAGCACAACACGAGGGCGATTATCCAGCACAACACGAGGGCGATTATCTGCGTCTCGCTATCACCGACCGTACAAATAACATGTTGTTTTGAAAATGGCAAAACATGATAGACGAATTAGGCCACGTAATCTGGATACTAAGCTACTAAGTCGGTCAGGTAGACAGGGTTAGGCCTGTCAATGTAACCACCAATGAAAGATTATTAAGGGCAAAAAGAACTTTGTCAACTTGGTGTCCCAATTACCGTCGTCTGTCGTCCCTGTTAAGAGGGCAGACAGGGGCAAGATAACAACCGAAGATTGTGTTTGATTGTGAGCATGATTTCGACATAAGAAACACAACGTACGTACAGCACGATGTGGTTACTGGTTAAAGCGACCCCTCGTCACCTAGTGGTTAAAGCGATCCCTCGTCACCTAGTGGTTAAACTGATCCCTCGTCACCTAGTGGTTAAAGTGATCCCTCATCACCTAGTGGTTAAAGAGATCTCTCGTCACCTAGTGGTTAAAGCGATCCCTCGTCACCTAGTGGTTAAAGCGATCCCTCGTCACCTAGTGGTTAAAGTGATCCCTCGTCACGTAGTGGTTAAAACGATCCCTCGTCACCTAGTGGTTTAAGTGATCCCTCGTCACCTGGTGGTTAAAGCGACCCCTCGTCACCTAGTGGTTAAAGTGATCCCTCATCACCTAGTGGTTAAAGTGATCTCTCGTCACCTAGTGGTTAAAGCGACCCCTCGTCACCTTGTGGTTAATGGGACCCCTCGTCACCTTGTGGTTGAAGCGACCCCTCGTCACCTAGTGGTTAAAGCGACCCCTCGTCACCTAGTGGTTAAAGCGATCCTTCGTCACCTAGAGGCTAAAGTGATCCCTCGTCATCTAGTGGTTAAAGCGATCCCTCGTCACCTAGTGGTTAAAGCGATCCCTCGTCACCTAGTGGCTAAAACGATCCCTCGTCACCTAGTGGTTAAAGCGATCCCTCGTCACCTAGTGGTTAAAGCGATCCCTCGTCACCTAGTGGTTAAAGCGACCCCTCGTGACCTAGTGATTAAAGCGACCCTTCGTCACCAAGTGGTTAAAGCGACCCTTCGTCACCTAGTGCTTAAAGTGACACGTAAATCTATATCACAAAATCACAGTCGTGTTAAACTTGTACCACCTCCAAACCTAATAAATACTAAGATTGTGTAACTACCCCGTAAGTGAAGGGCGTGTCATAAACTATCTTCCCGTTAGTTCTCTGATAGCTATCACGAATATCACCTGGACTTGCCGACGTGGCCGATAACAGTGTCATCACAGTCACCCAGTGCTACGGCACAGTTTACAGATTGTGGGGTGTACAGAAGTCACAGACGTTGACCTCTCTTAACATGACCGATACGACCGGGTGAGGTTCCAAAGTATTCGATTCACGAATTCTAGATATATTCCAGTGGCATGGCTGTCATTCGGGTCACGAGGCATGAAATGCGTCGTTCGATCGTAAAAGCCATCAGCGGCTATTACGAGTTATCCCCCTTCTATGCCCCACACAGCAGCCCGTGACGCTACAAACTAGCATGAAGGCTGTATAGACAATGACGGGGTATCAGCACTGTATAAATGGATCCTTGTTACGCCTGACATTCCCCAGGTCTGCAGGACAGTCTAGGAACCGGGTGGACGGTGCCTAGACACGTTACTCCAGGATAGTTCGCCCGGGGTGGAGACTGAACCTCTAGAGTCAGTTATCTCCCTTACATCCCTTGACTCGGGAAGATGGGGGAACATGTATTGTACATATTGCTAATTTCATCACGACCACAAACAGTACATTGGCTCCATATTGGTCCAGTGTTGGCGAGAGATATTGGGCCAACATTGGCACGACATCTAGCCAATGTTGGGCCAATATGTGTTTGCATCATGTTGGCATCATGTTGGTTCTTAAGGGTTTATTTGATTTGTAAATTGGTATCATAACTTCTTTCAAACCACTGGAATTGCTCAGTGGTTAGGGCATTGGCCTATTGCCTGTGACCTCGGGGGTTCGAACACTGCTGGGGGCATGGTATCCTTTCTGCTGTAGAGAACAATTCTACACACACGTTATAAGATAGAGCACAGTGTCTCTTCCAATATATCACCACTACAAACTTTAATATCATATATATACTGAACAGCAAAAGAAACGCAAGTTTCGAAAAAATGAAATTTCATGAAGGTAAGCGTTCATGTTTATGGTCCCAGATGAGATGATGTCATGCAATTTGACGTCCATACGAACCATTCGTACAAACACACCAACAGTGCAGCAAATCCCTAATTTTAGCACGTGCGTCGACGGTTCTGGGTGGAAAGCATGCATTTCACTCAGAGGTATTCTTTATAAAGGCTTGTGTCAAAAAACAGTTCAGTATTGACGCTAGGAGGAGTACACGCCACACAAACGATGCCTAGACTAACGACTGAGCAGAGGGGAGTGGCCATTTGAAAGTTGCACGGAGGTAGCTCTGCAACCGCTGTAGCTAGGCAATTGGGCTGTCATCTTACCACATTACACGACTTGCTCAACGTCATCAGCAAACCGGGGTTGTTGCTGATCGTCCCCGTACCGGACGGCAACGAGTGACAACTCATACGCAAGATCGGTTCATCCGGGTCACTCATCTAAAGAACCGAACTCAAGCAGAAACAGTAACAGCAGCCTTAGTTCTTGGGTCAAGTGGAGCAATGTCCAGCGATACGATTAGGCGTCGTCTTCGGGCTGCTGGAATCCACTGCCGACGGCCATATGTGGGGCCAGTTTTGACACGTCAACAACGCCAGCAGCCCTCACACAGCAAGGGTGTTGATGGATCATCTGGCTCAGAACAACGTTAACATTTTTCCATGACCGTCTCTTTCCGGGATATGGCTCCCTTTGAACATTCTGGGACGAAAGTCGACGGAGGACTGGGGCAGGTAGACAGCCACTCACACTTGCACAATTGGAATAGAGATTGGTGTTTGAGCGGAACCAGTTGCTTCAGGCAGTTTTTCAGACTTTAGTGAACTCAATCAGGCCACGTTGCACGGCCTGTGTGCAAGCTCAAGGTGGCTATATGCGCTACTAAAGAGACTGTCACTTTTCGCGTTCAGGGGTATCTCCATTTGACGAACTGTGATCAATTTGAACTTATTGCAATTCAATGTCAACAGCAACTTTCAACTGTTAAATTGACAGTGTTTTCTATAGAATAAATGATTAGACATGATTTTGGTTGTCTTCTATTAAAAAACTTGACAAAAAGCCAGACTTGCGTTACTTTTGCTGTTCAGTATATTTTCTACATGAACTATACTATCATTTCATCACTGGCGATAGTAAATTTCTACATTGATTATCATGTCATTTCGTCATGACGATCGTAATTTTCTACAGTGGCACAACGTTGCGGTCAGGGTGACCTCAGATCGTGTTGATCCGGTGTCCACACAACTCTAGGCTACAGGCGCGGGCTTAAAGGTGCAGGTCAAATACTGGACCCACACACATACTGACCTTTAATGAGGTCAGGTGAAATTGGGACTAACGAGGTGTTCAAATATACTGCACTTATGCAGTGATGTGCACGTGTGTTCGAAGGTTTGAGAAATATGTCGATTATAGCGCAAATAAAACGTTTTGACTGCACATAGGAACATACGTACGTGTGTACACTCGTTCAGTGATATTAAATAAGTAGACGGCTATCTGTGAACGAGTGTTGGACCTAGGACGTATTATTTTCAGCAATACAAGGCCCTGTGTCCCCACACCCATCATCCCATGGATGTGAATGTCCCAGATGGCAGTGTAGGTGGCATGACTGACGATGTAAAACATATCACATGATCTCTCTCGGCTGACGAAAGAAAGTCCAGGTGTTGCAGGAGAGGTGAATCAGCGAAGGTGTGGCAAACTTCCATATGACAGTGCTTTGTGTAGATACATTGAAGGGCTTTGATTTACTGCACACACAACATACGATGTTCAATAAAACATACGTAGCGGACGAAAGAGAATAACAATCCAACTTGAAATTTTGAATTTGTGGAATAAATGCTTAAATCATTCTTTACTTTCTAAACTCACAAGCTGTATGCTTCTGCCAGTGTCAAATACGTTATTTGGAAGCATATGCTCAAATGGAAGACGCGGAGCCAGTTTCTTTCTTATCTGTATGTCGTGGACTTATGACATGATCGAACACATATTAATTTATTAAATGCAAAGTCATGGGAAAATAATGTTTTGTCTCCAAGTTCCAACAGAAATCCAACTATTGCCAAGACAATGACTCAAATG